CTTTTTGAATATACTCCTATTCTTCCAAATAATCAAAAGATGTATGAAAACTAGAAACGTAAAAAGAAAGAGTTAAAAAAAAGCACACAATTAAAATTCTAGCTTGGTATTCTTCTCTGTACATCAACATTCTCCTTTATTAGTATTATAGCTCATTTCCCCCAATTTCTTTTCTGTGTAACAAGTAAACATCTTTACTGCCATTTTAGGCTAATCCAAAACTATGTTTAGAACAAATTGAGGCCAGTATTGTCAAAGAAAGGACACTCAATGTCAGACTCTTTGTTCCTCAATGATGACAAATTTTATTTTGACATACTGGCACAATATAGTTTCATTTTCTGGGCTTAGTCTTTTTTTCCAGTTTCCTAGGTTTCTCTCATCATTTAAAAAAATTAGCTTTGCAAAGGAAGCATCCACTGAGAATACAGGATTCCTCATGAGGACCCTAGGACCTTGGCTTAGCAGCCATAGAAGTTAATCTCACAGATGCTGCAAGTTCCTTAGGACTGAAAGGACACCTCACAAAAAGTATGTGTTGCAGCATACAAAACTTCAGCATCTCAAGAAAAGAACACAGTGGTGTCTGGTGAAGACGAGAAACTGCTGGCAGGTGAACACATAGGTACTTCTGTTAGAAACCCCTACAGGAGGGATCAGCTAGGCAGTGTTGATTGTATATGGATTTTCAGTGTGTGCTCCAAGCATTATGATAACTCTGATATGAAGACCCTCAAGCCTACCTATAAACATATACTAAAGAGATATTCATTTTGTTGTGTAGGGCTCTGTTAAAAGCAGAAAACGAAACTTCAGTACCACCAAGAGACTTGTACCACTCAATTAGTGAGAAGTGATTATGTATTTCCTTGGAGAGTTAGGGATTGTTTTTATTTATTTATCTCCATTAGAGTAAAATTAGCTTTTGAATGACAAATAAAAGAGAACTAAACCTTCCCACATACTACTAAGTGGTTTGCATGAATGTAAGCAAGCCTGAGGCTGAGTTCTCTGTGTCACGCCCTGAATCTCTGCCTTTCACAGAGAAGCAATTCTGGGACTTCTTCAGCCCAAAAGAAGGTACCAGGTCTGTTTATCATCCCTAATGTAAGCTTCGGTGAGAAAAGATGGCCTAGTACAAGTAAATAGAAAATCAGATTGTATCTCTCCCTATAGGTTTGTAAGTATAGAAAGATGTTAAAAGGGAACTTTTCAAATTCAATGTAATAGTTAAAATTTCATTCTATAATCATTTTTCTTCTTCATTTAATAATTGCTTACTTCCATTTCTGATTCTTATACATCATTCTTCCAAATTTTGATTCTTCTTATTTATTTCACAAATTTCTTTTCTGCTTGCCATCTTTCCTTGTTTTTACCCTTTTCTCTAGAAAACTAGAATATGAAGATTTTTGAAAAGCTCAAGGCTTTATTATGAACTACTAAGCAAAACTACTTTTTTCTCATTTCTATATTAACATCACACAGAATATGTCCATCTTTATACATTAAATAGAACTTTTCTTAAAAAATCTTAAAGTTCATCTAGAGTATTCTTAACTCTATGGTTAAGTAGATGGACAAAGTCAGTAAGAATCCATTTGTAAAAATCTCAAAAAAAAATCTTTTATTGTTTTGACCCTTTGACTATGAAATGAGGTATACAAAAGCCCTACGAAACCTGGAAAAGGCAGGTTTTCCAAAATAAAAAAAAATTTTTTTTACACAGGCTTGAGTAGATACAGACTTTTATTTTTTTTTTAAACTTTTTTACTTTAAAGAGATTAAGACAAAAGAGGACATAAAGCAGATCAGAACAGAACAATGTAAGCAACACAGTATTTTACCACAAGACAACCTGTAATTAATAGTAACTGCCATAATGTCTCTTTCTTTGAAATAGTTGAGCATAACTTCATATAAAATAGTATCAGACATAACAAAATAGTATAAAACCATTCAAGAGAATGAAAGTATTACAGGACATTCAGAACCAAATAACGGCAGATGAACAATGGCTACTATATTATCTCATTTTCCATAGAAAATTTGTTTATACTATCAGAAATCCAAAATAAAAATTTTTTTGAGGCATAAACTAAGTAAGTTTTCCAAAATGAACTGCTGAGTTTTCAGTAGTTTAGGAAACCTGGGTAGTAAAGATAATCTGATGTCCTCTTCCAGTTAAAAATAATAAAATTTTCAACAAGAATTAGAATTTTCCACATTGTAGTGCATGTTATTTAGATCATTTTCCTGAATCACAGCATAACCATGTGCCTCTTCTCTAATTCTGTGAAAATTAGAAAGAATGATAATCTATGCCCTACCCTGTCTCAAGACACAGTGAGTAGCCTATAGACTCTAACATCACATGTCCTGAATATAAGGTTTAATTTTATGAAATTAACTCTACCCATTGGCGACTTCTTAAAGTCTGTGGGAATAATGCAAATGAAGAATATCTAGAACTTTCTACTCTCAGATACAAGGCTCTAGAGAGGGTTTAGTTTTTGTTGTTAGCATTTGCTTGATTATTTGCATTGCAGTGCTGGGATCAAACCCAGGACTTGGGCACATTGAGCTACATCTGAGACCACAAAGATCTGATCTGAGTTGAGATGGATGAGGACAGAGAACTATCTTATAAATGTTCAAGCTCTCTCCTCCTAAAAGAAAATCATGTGGGCTTTATGTTTCCAATATCCTTACTTCCCAGTTAGCCATAAGCCATGAGACACGATGAGACACTGAATTTAGGGTTGTCCTGCATACATAACAGAGATAGGAAAATGAAACAAAGGGCTTGTAAATTATGGCTTTGTCCATTTCACTCCTGCAACTTGACCCACAAGTTAGATTTTTATGAATGAGTTATCCATTTATCAGTGTTTAGATGTCTATGCTACACCACAAGGAACAATAGCTCAGCAAAATACTCTTATGAGGCCAGCTTTCCAGGCAGTCAAGAAGAGACCATGAATATTTATGTATCCTTTCCAATGACTTCAGTGCGGAGGTGGCTGCATGGGGTGGTGGCGAGACCCCTTGGAGAGTGAATGCAGAGTAGAATTCAGTTTAAAGCTATTAGGAGCAAGGCTGCATTTAAGGATGTTCGTGAAACTTTTATGTGTGCCTGCTGGTGCTCCTGGCAGTGTGTGTTTCAGTTGTGGTAAAGAAACTCGGGGAGTTCAACCTTCCCTTGCCTTTAGGGGGATTTTTTTCAGAGTGGCTGAGGAAGGAAAGTTAATAGCACCCATGTGGCAGGATAATAGACTCGGGTTGCGGGGATGCTCTCCCAGGGGAGTGGCTTCCTCAGACATATTTGATAGTTCATGATTTTAACCCTCACTTGCTACTGATCTCTCTTAATGTAGGATTCATGTGGCACAAGAAGGGCATTGTCATGAGTTGAGCTACTTTGTATACAACAGGGACACTGTTGGGAGGAGGAGGAGGCTTTCACGGGGCAGTGCTCACCATCTTGAGTAAACCAAGCCATCCTAAGCTCAGGCAATGTCACATCTGTCATCAATTCATGCGGTTTTACAAGAAAATCAGCAGGAAAAAAAGATCACAACTGTTTTACTGTTGTTTCCTCTTATGGTGCAGTTTTAAAATATTCATAACAATGAACCATTTCACTTAGACTAAAGTAACTGCCGTTCACCCAAAGCAGTGAACACTTTTTGTTTGCTAATTTAAAAAGCAGTTCAGAGATTAGTGTGGTGTTTATTATGAAGCCATGACAAAAGAGTTCTGGTGGTTTTAATAGTTTTAGCTTAGGAGTGCTGTCGTTAATTTCATCTGTAGTGTTGCAGGTGAAAAAATGCACAATGGATAAATAGTCTATATTGGTTTAACTGAACATAATATATAGTGTGTTCTGGAGTTGTTTGTCTCAATAGACTATAGTAATCAAAAGTAATGAACCTATTATGTGCAGGACCTTGGAGAGCGTCGAATGGCAGTAAAAGTGTGGCACATAAAAGGTTTATTAAAGGAAATTAAAGTCCATCATTGCCACACCTGCTCCCCTATTATAAGTCTATGGCAGGTCAGTGCCTTCAATCACAACCTAGCCTCTGAGAGCAGACGTGAGACGTGCATCACCACGCGGTCACTCGCCTCCCCGCCCTGGCAGGATCTAAGGATGACAGCCTTGGAGCGCGCATTCTGCCCGTCTCTGATTTTCAACTAGCAAAACGACTTATTTAGGTTTAAGAATTCCTTCCAACGGTGTGCACAAGTGAATTAAACTAGGAGATGAGTAGCGGAATTGAGTGAAATGGGCAGATGTAGACAGGTTAGAGCTTATAAAAACAAAAGGCTTTGAAAGTCTCTGCTTCCCTTTGATAACTTATTTGGTTGCTTCAAAAATTTGTCATGATGATGGGGCTTTGATACAGACATGCACCTTACTCTGAATTTACCTTGCCCATATAATGATCGCAGTCCATGTTCTTCTGGAATTCTAGGTAGAAGCTAAGACATTGTTGGTGGTCAGAATTTCCAATGATATATTCTGATGGAATTACAAGGGTTTATTTTCGTGTTACTTTTTAGGCAGGAAGTCATTTTGACTAACTAGGAAGTATATATTGAGAAGGGTCTGGAAACGTAAAGAAGTCAGGGTTTAGTAAATTAGTTTGAAATCTTTCAGTTTGGCATTAGAGATTTCATCTCCTTCTCAAGCACTGTTGATCAGACAATCCTTTTTCTACCTTTACAATGCCAGAAGCATTTTAATCACTAGAAAACACTTGTGGACAAGGACACCTGCCCTCTTGTTACTGTTCTCTCTGGTTTCCAGCAGCTGGAGAGGTGACTCTGAAACTAGTGGAATGCAAGGGCAGTCGCAGTCAGGTCCTGGTAGTGCCCAAATTCAATTCAAGAGCATGAAAAGCATCTCTGTTTTCCACAATTACCTTCAGAACTTCTAATTACGTGTTTGGTCAATGTCAAAGGACTGACCTCAGGATTTTGTGTTCATGTTACAGATGGATGCAGAGGCTGAAGATAATATGCTGTGTACTCGCTCTAAAGGAACGGAGGGTGAGTTACCAAGCAGGTTCCAGGACACCGTGCCCGTTACACCGTGAAAGACGGGAGTGCCAGTACTCTGTCCCTAGTGTGTAGTAACAATGCTTACAACTTCCTCGGGGTTTCTTTCAGTCTAATCAAGCCAGGACACTGGCTTTTGGCATTGAAAGACAAAATATCATGAAACAAGAGACAAAAGACTCTGAAAGTCCAAATGGTGCATGATGCTAATGTTTACGCAATGCAATGCGGAGCAGATTTGAACATCATGCAAAGCATCCTGGGTTCAGCAAGGGAGGAACGTTGATGGGGAGCTTCCGAATGTGGAAGTGACCTTTACTGATCAAGGGAAAAGACTGAATTGTTAGGTTTTTTGCCAAAGCTGGTTTTGATTTTTATGTTATCTGGTTTAGTGACTTCCAATCTATACTGAGTTCAAGTAAAATGGCCATGTTTGTTTTTGACTGTCCCTGCTGGGAGTTCTCAGCAGCTCTGCAAAGTAATGTTTGGAAGGTTTGACTTGCTGGTTAGCCCTCTCTTTTTGTAACCAACAGATGGTAATGTAATATTGAAATACAAACAGTCCCTTGATGATCTAAACATCTGGAAAACAGGATCGACTGGCAATAACACCCCTTAAAGAAAATAACTTTTATTATAATTAGCTATATTTTGGTGACCCTTAATTCTAAGTGGAAAACTGTAGGTCTGTCACGTCTCTGAAAACACCCTGGGTAGCTTCCCCCTCCTCTGAACTGAGGCTGTATTGCTGAGGAAGAGCTAACTCTGGCTGCCTGCATCCTCTGGAAGAATTTTGAGATTTGCAGTTCAAAGTTAACCAAACACAACACTTGGAGATATCTATCTATCTATCATCTATTATAGTTATATCATATACATGTTATATCATATGTATTCATGAATAAACTTGTATATTTTCAAAGTAAAAAAACCTCTTTAATGTATTAAAAGATGATTTTTTTCAGTTAAATGTGACCAATGGTTATCACTAGACATGAGACAAAATACAGAATAATGTGGTACATGGGTGGGAACTTTACTCCAATGAAAGCTTTGCTCTGTCTGTCCTAGTTTTGATTTACATTACTCTTAAAGTGAACACATTAGTTTTGTTTGTTTGTTTGTTTTGTTTCAATTTTTGAGACAAAGTGCTGCTAGTTGTCCAGGCCAGGCTCGCACCTATGTAACTCAGGGCGGACCTCCCCCAGCCTCCCAGGTGTAGACCACACCGCCACATCACACTCAGCTTCAAACTAATCACATTCTGTTGTCTTCTATCTGAAGTATAGATTTAGAGACACTAAATTTTCATGCAATAAATTTCCTAGTAGAACAGGAATTTACGAAAAAGGGTGTGTTTCATTTTTGAGATAAACTCCTGCTTGCTGTGTGTATCAGGATTCTAAGGAATGTGAGCACCTCAAATCTTTTACACTGATGTCTCAAAACACGCTCCTCTATCATACTTTTAAAATGTAGGGCTTTTAATTTGCAGTTCTTTTTGGACTTTGAATTCTTTTGGCACATGTGCGCATACCCTTAAATAGAGCCAAAATGTTCTTCTAGAAGAGAAATGACAGTTTCTCGTGAAGCATGACTAATCTGGAGAACCACCTGTTGCCTTTCTCCATATGCTGCTTACCCTTGGTGTAGGTAGGTATTTATAAACATGAATCCTTTAATTCCCAGCTTTCCAGTTACAAAAACAAAGCGTTTTTCTGTAAGCTTTTCATTTTTAAAAGCTTGTTAATATCGACATGTTTGAGTCTTATTCCTCTTTTCCTGTGTGTAGGAAGTTTATGGAATAACATGTTGGGATTCATTCACTTAGCAAGGCCTTGCCAGTGTCATGTGAATACTTGTTCAGTCTCATTCAATGTATAACCTTAGTGGCAGGTGCAGAGCTCGTGGCTAGTGTGTAGGATTTCCGGAGTTCTACCTTCAGACCTACAAACAAACAAACAAACAAAAAGCTTAATGCTTTTGAATGATTGCCTATTAAAATTAAAATTAAGTTTCATTGTAAAATTCAACTTTATTGCAAAGTCCTACAACTTTGCAATAAAGCTCTAGAGACAAATATGTGAAAGAGCTAATCTATCAGTGTCAGGACCTAGATCCACCCGAGGCACTGCACCAGACTAAGTATGTCCTCTCAACTCAAAAGGATGAGAATGAGGGAACGATCAATCCACCTGGGGAGAAACTGAATGGAGTCTGTACTAAACATTTATTTTGGTTATTATTTCTAAGTGGATGAAAATTTTCAATCTTAAAAGTCACCTACTTCTTTTCTTTGTCCACAGTGCCAATGGATTCTCTAATCCAGGAACTCAGGTAGGGTCTCCCTACATTACTTTCTCATATTGATTGGCTTAAATTATCAGAATGATTTATATTTCTCAAGTCTCAGAATCTTTATTTTAGAAGAAGGAATAAGCCAAAGGACTTATTTTACCCACGCACTGCCTGTACATGAAAGAAACAGAGAAAAGGACCAACCTTATTCATATGGGTCCAAAACAGTTTGATCTAATGTTCTGACCATACAACACATTTTGCAGTAGTGTGAGTGATTTCTCACTTTTCTTCATGAGCATGGATGGCCACACACTTCCTATACATCTTGCATGTTGGTTAGATTTTGCACTGAGCCTCAGTGAACTGAGCTGTCATCAGTGATTAATGAATTACCCACTCCTAAATTAACTACTTTTTGTTTAAAGTAATTAGATAAGTCCATCAGATCACACACACACACACACACACACACACACACACACACACACACACACACGTAGTCTTTTTAAACCAGGGTTTCACAATTCAGTTCAGGCTGGCCTTGAACTCACATTATAGCCCAGGCTGGCCTTGAATTTGTAACAGTCCTTCTGCCTCAGCCTCCCAAGTGCTGAGATTACAGGCATGTGCCACCACACCCAATTTATATAGTTTTACCTATGCCTTGGAAGATAATGTGACAAGTAGATTTTGTGCATGAGTCCATGTGTTCCTACCTTAGATGCTGTGAGTATTAATGCTTACAATATTCCAAAAATTCTCCTCTTATGTGTTACAGAATATACTCCACTTGAATTTTCTTTTACAGAGTCTTTGTTAGGCTTTAATTTTTAAAAAGTACATTTTGAAAAAGAAAAACGCATGCTTAAGATTAGGATAAATGTATACATTAGGAAGAAGATGATACCCTTGGTCATTTATAAAAATAAATTTAGTAAGTTCCAAATTCACTGTTCAGTCTACCTTTCTGAAAATAGCAATGATCTCTCTGTGTTCCTCAGGGTAATGTTTGGGGAATGAAGGCTGTGTAACCATATTCAATATACGTGCTGTTTAGGAAGCATGTCTCTATAATTTTCAGAGTTTCTTCTCCAGACAACTGTGTGTCCAGTCCTCTGGAGCACAGACTGTCACCCCCCTGTCCCTCCTGTCTCTGTCTCCTCCTGCCCAGTCCTGGCCTACGTGCAGTGGAATACCTGTTAGGATTCATGCTGATGCTCCTTTCTGTGGGAATTTGCTGGAAGAGCCTCCATGGTCCTTCCTGGCTTATCAGTATCATCACTAAAATTTTTAATTTTTAAAGTAATCTGAAAAGAGTAGGATATAGAGTGTACATCTGAGCAAGATCAAACTGTTCAACTATTTGTCTTGTTTAAATTTTGCTTTAGAATTGCTGCCGTATAGACTATGTATCTTTTTGAGCAACTTATGAGTCCTATGGAAGAATCAAGAAAAGCTTAAAGAGATCAGTGCTGAAGATGTGTCAGATAGCTGTGGTACCTGTGATGCTACTCTGGTGTTCCTGTGACCAGGGGGCTGCCACCTCTCATCACAGGACTTACCTGTGTCAGTCACTTTAGGAAATCAAACTACTCAAAGGCAAAAATGGGGCCCTTCTTAATGACACATAATCTTAAAAAAAATAACTTTTAAGGGATTAATGTGCATGCCTTGACCTAAGAATAAATATATAATTTGGAGATAAAAAGAAAGGAATTACCCAAGAGCAGCAAGCATATGGGTGAAATTTTTAATAAGGTCTTTTATGCCAGGTACTGTATTTAAACATTTTTTACTAGTACATGTTTGCAGGACGTGGTTACATTCCTTGTAATTAATACATGTACACAGCACATTTCAATCCCCCCCCATTCATTAATCTAGCATCACATTCACTTATTTCTCTTATAAGACCTTCTAAAGTTAATTATCATGTGTACAGATTAAAAACTGGACTGATATTTTCAGATACTCTTGAGTTTCCTTGACCACTCACATCTCATTTAACCCCCACAATCAGCTCATAAGGGTGAAACTGGTTGTTTCAATTTTCTTAGGAATCAAGTAAAATAAACATTTTATGTAAATAACCCTAGGTACACAGCTGTTAAGTAATCCAAACTTCTCAATCTCAAGCCAGCTTTTCCATCGCCAGGCTATCTTTTCTCTCTTCCATAGATCACACTGTTTGAAATACAAATCAAAAGCATTTCATTCTTCAGGACTTGGTCAGCTGGACCTTCAAAGTTCCACTTTTTAAACCTTTTAGTTTATCTTTCCACCTTGCTGTTTTCCGAAATTTGAACAAAGACTTTTATTTTAAAATAGCATTTCCCATTATCCTAATTCTCTAAAAAGTATTTTTGTCAAATTTTCTACTCTACCTAATTTGTTAATAGAGCAATTTGGAAACATGATAATAATTGCTGGGAAAATTCACAAACAAATTTTCCTATTTTACTTTAATAAAAACCAGTTTATAGAAATTACTAAAAAATAATTTTTAATTTTGTTATCATTTATGTTAAACAGAATTATTGTGCATAGGTTGAATGAATGCCAAACTGTTTCATAAATGGTTTAAACTGATTGGGACATAGAATCGAATTAACAGCCTATGCAAATCTCGGGGGGGGGATGTTAATCTATAAGAAAGCTTATACTTTTAGTATCTGTTTAAGTTTTATGTGACTTTTGTATATATTCATCCATTCTCTGTGACTGCTCTTTCAATTTATTGTAAACTTAAATTTGTTGTGATTGAGAATCACAGCCATAGGTCTGAATTCTGAGTTTCCTTAGGAAATGCAGCATATTTTCCCGGGTGTAAAAGTTGTGGCTATTTTGTAGAGAACACTGGCAACTTTATTTAGTCCTTCTTTTTCAAATATGTTAGATATGCTATTACTTCCCAAGAGACTACTTATGAAAATACTAATACAAATGAAGCTAATTTAAATATGCTATATATTGTTCATGGCACTAATAAAAATTGATACTGACATTCTCATCTTCTTATTATACTCTGTGTCAGCCACTATCATCACCATTAAAAAAGCAATTTATAACCATAGGCCCACCTTTAATCATGTTCCTTATTAGCATTTCTAGTCTTTCCTCTAACACAATTCAGGTTACAGGTGGTATTGAGAAAGCTCTCTTCCATCTTTCTAAATCATGACCACTGAATTATCTCTGCTTTTTTCTTTTATTACTATCATCCTTAATCGAAACCTCATGCTGTTGCATTTAGTAATATTGGTAATTGTCTCATGCATTGGCACAATGTTTTATACCAGTCAAGCCCCCTTCCTCTAATTAGGAAAATATATTCTGACCTCAGAAATGGCTTTCCTATGTGAGTCCTTAGAGAGACAAATGAATTCAAGGCTCTTAAATACATCGGTCTTTTTGTGGTTTATTGCTACTTACTGATTGTTGGCTTAAATTTTGTAATGAAAATTTTAAGTTTGTTTTTTTTATTTTATTTTTTCGTTCATTTAAAACTCCCCATTTGGCATCTTCTTATAATCTGCTAAATATTTTATTAGCTATCATGTACTTAAGACTAACATTTCTTCAGTTTGTGATGCACAAATTCAGGTGGCTTCTATTCTATTTCATTCACTTTAATCCTTTTGAGTTAACATTGTAATGCATGATAGAACGGAATTACTTTATTACTTGAATTACTTTATTTATTATTTTACAGTGTCTCTCTTTTTTTGAAAACAGTTTCCTTGGGTAGTCATGAATTTATTAAAACTTACCTATTGCCAAAAAAAAAAAAAACAGAATTGAGAGATAACTAAAGGGAGAAAAATGAAAGAAACTTATTTTTAATCATAGATATTTCACAAATGTATCATGGATTTGAATAAAAGAGCAGAGAAATCTTTTTCTTTCTTTTCATTACTGTCATTTCCAAATAGAAGGCTCCCAGCACATTCTGGGTACTTAGCAATATATGTACTATATTCATGTTAACAATATACCTTTCTAAATATTCAGGCCACACCTGTAAATTAGAACCCAAGAAACTGATACTTAAAGAAAACTCCACTTCATGGGGGAAACCAGCATGACATCCAGTGCAGTCAGCTGATGGTACAGATTTATTAGAAGGGCAGTGTCCATGCAAAGGAGAGGAGTTATGCATGGCCAGTTGGCCCACTTCCTCTACCCTCCTGGTCCATGCCTCGGAGAAATTCAGACCCTCTGTGAATCCAGACCCTGCCTGAAGCACTCTAGGAACATTATGCTATGTTAAGTGAATTGTATTTACTAGGATAGAAATGCACCTCCAAACATATCAGGGAAGCTTTTGACAAGAATAAACACACAAAGGAGTTTGTTGTTTAGCAAGAAAACACAATGATCTGTGGTGCTGTCTGTATTTATGTATTAGCATAGCCTCTTAGCTTTTAGCATTGAACTTGCTGTTGAGTGGACTCTCAACAGGCGCGCAGTGAATGAATTGTGGAAACAATACGCACAAGGTCTAATTGCATGTGGACAACAAGCCTATGAGGCAGTCAGGACAAATGGCACTATCTGCTTTTAATTCATGAGCTGAGTTCAGGGAAAATGCTCTATATTCTTTCCCTTTTTTCTCTTCTGTACTCAAATCTTATCACAAGAGTATCAGTGGCTTCTGCAACCGGAAGTTGAGAGCTTAAGACACTAACATCTCTAGAAATCAGGGGTAAATCATCATCACTGCAGGGTGTGTGTGACAGATTCCTTGCATCTTTCCTTTAAGGTTCATCAAAGGTCACACCAGAGATAATGTTTTCATCCAATGAGCTTCTTTCGTCTTGTACCGTACATCTCTTACACAGAAGAATTTGCCACTCTCCACTGTGAATGAATGTCTTTCAGTTATTGGTGCACTTGGTGCTGTTTCTGCTCCAGCACAGTATGAGGTATTTCAGTGGATACATAACTAATGGTATCAGTAATAAACTCAGAGACTTACAGAGTAACATCACTGCTGGTGACATAGGCAAAGTGCTGCAGGGAACAAGAGACAAAAA